GTGATAAATAAAGTTGAATATAGCAATTTTATTGTTCTTAATACCCAATTTAACACTCCTACCTGTATAGTTTTCCAGTGTCGGTCCCCAAAATCTAGAAATTTTGTGTTGATACATTGACTTGTACAAAACAAGTGTTTCAAATGTCTCAATTTACTATACACTATGCTTACGTGGCATTGACAAAATGTGCGCGATTCTTGCGTATAAGAGAGTGAATGTAGAACAATAATTGATAAAAAATTAGAAGAGAATAAAAAGTCAACAAAGTATGAACTTCAAAAATATCGGAGGAAGAAAAATGGAGAACGAAAAATAAATAGCTTCTTTTATATAAGCGATGACTACCTGACATATATTTACTGAGTATGGATTTTATGTGTTATCCACATCAGGACTGCCTCGATCTAAGCTCATGACACATATTGTCCGCTTTGAGCCTAGGGTCGCACAAATTTATCTTTTTGGGCTATGCCACCTCGAGTCTCGAAAGTGCGCGTACCATGTGAACTTGTGTCATGCCTTATAAAGCTCTTCACTTTCCTCTCTTATCCGATGTGGGATTTGTGAAAGCTTCTTGGTTAACAAGCTTACAGAAAAAGGGTGTACATGTCACCGTAGGCGAATCCCACATTGAAATGGGAGATGAAAGCGAAGAGCTTTATAAGGCATGACACAAGTTCACATGGTACACGCGCTTTTAGGGCACGAGGTGGCATAACCTGAAAAGACAATTCTGTACGGGCCTAGGCCCAAAGCGAACAATATGTGCCATGGGCTTGGATTGTGACAAAATGGTATTAGAGCCGAATCTCCCTCGGTACGATAGTGGGACAAACCTCAGCAAGGATGCTGAGTCAGGGGAGGGTGGGTGGTTGAATGTGATGCACGGACTGATGAGGGCGGGTCAAGCAAGACTGACAGGCTTATAGTCTGGTAAGCTTCTGAAAAAGTGGTGCACATATCACATTAGGCGAATCCCACATCGGGAATGAGAGAGGAAAGTGAAAAGTTTTATAAGAAATAACGCATGTTCACTTGGTACGTGCACTTTTAGGGCTCGAGGTGACGTAGCACAAAAAGACAAATCCATACTGGTTGGGTCATGGCAAGGACAAATGAGAAATACACAAAGTCAAGTTTTGGTGTCTATTTGGAAACTGTTGAAATTATAAGATCGTTGTTGGACAATCATGCAAGTATGGGTGCCAAATTGAGTACTAAGCGAAAGTTTTGCTAACAAAAGGGAGGGTGCACGTTAGGCATTAGATTCTTGCTACGTGGCAACATGTGACTGGCGCACAACTTACTTTTGAAGTATGAGTGCCATCATTATATGCAAAAGCGTAGGGTGCGGTGGGACATGAGGGGGTGGGTGGGTGGAAGTCACCGAATACCGAGGGACTGAATTCTGAATTCCCAGACATTTTGCTTTGTTATCTTTGGAACAAGTCTTCTCTAGTCTCCACTTTCTCTCTCTACATATACACATTCTCTCTCTACATATATATAGGAGTACAAAAATATCTGCACTGTTCTAGATTTCCTCTCTTCAGATCCTTTCAAATTTCTCCGATCATCTCCAGTAGCCATGGTAAGTCATCCTTACATTTCGGCCACGCAATTTTTTCTGTTTTTTTCCTTCTGAACTCTTGCTTTTGTGTTTTCAGTTGTTTTACTTTATGAACTGTGTTTTAAGTTTTTGATTTTGATCTGTTATCTCTTTGCTTTGGAGAAACCCTAGGTTCTGCTTTTTAGTTAATGGATCTGATTTTGCTGTTATTTTGACCTTGATCTATCGGTTTCGTCTGAATTGAATCTCTTTACTAGTTCGATCCATGATTTTTCGATGTAGAGGAATTGTTTTCAAAGAAAATCTTGAAGTTTAGAGTTTTTGGATGCTGACGTGATTCGGTTTAAGGTTTTTTTTCTATTTAGGAATACATTTGATGCTGTTCAGTTACCTGCATTTACTTTACGTCCTCAAAATTCTAGTTATTTTTGCATCTCGTTAATCAGTTATGTTTAACATGGAATTTGGATCATCCCTAAGAGCCCGTTTGGATTGGCTTATTTTAAGTGCTTTTAAGCCAAAATAACTTTTATGCCTTTTGTAGTGTTTGGATAGAGTAAAAAAGTGTTTTTAAACACTTATTTTTAAGCTAATATGACAAAAACAAGCCAAAAGCTACAACTCCTAACTTATGGCTTAAACGGCGTAGCTAAGTGCGTTGAAGTGGGTTCCAATTAAATCCCCTTGATAGCTAAGTTTTTTCACTCACTTACCTAAGTTTGTATTTTTTTGTATGCCCTAGTTAGAATTTTTGGCTCCGTCACTTGTTCGATCCATGAATTTGGGTATTTAGGAGTTGCTTCTTACAAGATAACTTAGAATTCAGGGTTAATTGGATGTAGATGGTATTAATTTCAATTACCTGAATTTACTATATGGTCCTCGAAATTCTATTCATTTTACATCTCGTTAATTAGTTGTGTAATAACTGAATTTGGACTCTCTCGATCATAACGGCTGAATTGGACCTCTTACTAGTTGTCCATGTTTTTTCTGTGTTTAGGAGTTGTTTTACAAGAGAATTTTAAAATTCATGGTTGTTATGGATGTATATGTGATTTGCTTCAAGGTTCTATATATTTAGCGTTAGTTTAGCTGTTGTTCGGTTACCTGCATTTGTTTTATGTCCTTAATCAGTTATGCATTACAGGAATTTGGATTAACTCTCGAACACAACTGAATTGAACATCTTTACTAGTCCATCTATGCTCTTTTGGTTTTTATGAGTTTAATGGAAAATCTTAAAAATCAGGGTAAGTTGAGTGTTGATGTGATTTGCCTCAAGGTTTATTTATTCAGGGAACTTTACAGGCTGTTCAGCTACTGGCATTTACTTTAGGGTCTTGGAATTTCTTGTTTTTTTTTGTTGCATATCCTCAATTAGTTACGAGGTACATTGTGGAATTTGGATAATTTTAAGGCAGAAATAAGCTGGTTGTAGCTGGAAAATTTGGTATTCATAAGCATAGTGCATAATTGAGTGGGGATGTTCTGCTGGTGATGCTGCCACAGAGCTAAAAGTTGCTCATGATTGAATGTAGGATCAAAAAGATTTCTTCGTGGAACATTTATTCTCTTTTTTCCATTTTCGAAAAAATTCTTTTTAAGCAGATGCTTATCAGTAAAAGTTGAAATTTAGCCCTGCTTCAGTTTGTGATACACTTTGCTAGTTTTGTTATTGCCTGATAACTTTCAGTTGTATTTGTTCTTTATAGTCATTCATAGTAGATCAGCAAATTTACTTTTGTTTTTGCATCTGGTGGAGATCTTATGTTGATCTGATGGAATATTAGTAATCAGCATTATGTTGTAAAAATATTCTACACTTTGGAGCTTGTTGGTCTCTCCTGTTTACCACACCACTCTTCTCCCTTGACCGGATCTACACTAAATCTACAAATGGCTTCTTTGACAAAGCAATGGGTTCATTTTTGCAATTAGCTAAAGGTGGGAGGTTAAATGTTGTATGTAAATAGCATGGGCGAAAACTAGAGTCGATTATGTTCATGAGTAGAAGAGTTGGGGAACACGTGGACATGCATAGGTTATATGTTGTATGTTAAGTAGCATGGTGAATACAAAAGTTTATTTTCATGAGTAGCAGGTTGGTAACATGTGGACATGCAATAGGTTGTATGTTCATTTTGAGTGGCTGTGGAAATACTTTGTTCCTCTGGTTTTCGTATTACAATGATTAAAATTTCTATTATTCACCTTGGAATTCTGCACAGGCTAATGCGGCATCAGGCATGGCTGTGCATGACGATTGCAAGCTGAAGTTTCTGGAATTGAAAGCTAAGAGGACTTATCGCTTTATAGTATTCAAAATTGAGGAGAAGCAAAAGCAGGTTATCGTGGAAAAGCTCGGTGAACCTGCTGAGAGTTATGAGGACTTTGCTGCTAGTCTACCTGCAGATGAGTGTCGATATACGGTGTTTGATTTTGACTTTGTGACAGAGGAGGGTTGCCAGAAGAGCAAGATTTTCTTTATTGCGTGGTATTACCTTTGTTCTTAAATATAATCAGAGTTTGCTTATTATATTGCATGTTTGTGAATGCATTCTCTAACTGTTCATATTTGAGCATGTTTAGGTCCCCTGATACTGCGAAGGTCAGAAGCAAAATGATCTATGCTAGTTCCAAGGATAGATTCAAGAGGGAACTGGATGGAATTCAGGTTGAGCTGCAGGCAACTGACCCAACTGAGATGGGGCTGGATGTTTTCAAAAGCCGCACCACTTAAATAAAATCCTCTAGTACAGCAACGGATGTGCTCTTTGATTTGCTCAAGAGAAATGTTAATAGTCCGTCGGGACGAGAGGGAAATCTGATGTTTGTTATCAAGTTTAACATTGAAGTCGTCTTTAGAAAAATCATGTGGTTTTGTTCTTATCTTCGTGTTTGTCGTGTGAAACTTGTTCTTTGGTTTGGAGCTGGTAACAATTAACAATCCTTGGGTTGTTCTTTGGTTTGTATGTTTCTGTTGATAGCTGACCTGATTGCAACTTCTGTATCTTTGATTTATGGAGATGCTGACTGGCAGCCACTGTGATCATTTATAGTCGTTCATCTTCACATTTGTTTTGTTTTGTCTTGTTGATTTTGGTGCTGGCGCCTTGAGTAACTTTTCCAGGTCTTGAGGCTTACTGGAAATATCTTAGATTGAGCTGACATACTATTTGTCCTTGTTCTTTTTGTGATTACAATGGATAAATTGTTTATGTTCTTTTAGTTTTAGCTTCTTTTTCTTAATGTTTTATGAAATTACCTTGACAAGTTACACGAGAGGTGTTTGATGCTCATGCCAATAATATTCGTTTCCCCCCGGAGGTGATACCAAGAATGTTGGTTTTGATGTTTAATAGAGACGTCACAGAAGAAACATAAAAATGAAGGAGCTTCATCAATTGACCCGGCAGCCATGAACTATTTTGGGAACTGAACATGATTTATTAACTTGAAGCAAACTGACTTAAAGGCAATGCAAGAGAATGATTCACCTAATATACCACCTAGAATACATGTCATATGGGTTCGATAATTACATGATGACCAATAACCATTTTTTTAGGGTTATTACTTGTTAGGTGTATGATATCAAAATACTTGATACAGAGTTGCCTTCTATTCAATCCAGCATAGACTCCAGTGTAGTTGCAAACAAAAAGCTGAGAATGCCAACAACAGACTTGATGCCTTCCTGCTGCTTGGTAAAGGGAGCTGCAGAGCAAAATAGAAGTAGTTTAAGGCATAGGTGTTAGTTAAATGAGAAAGATGTTCCATCACATTGGTCATCTGAGTGTAAATTGACCTGAATAGAATGGAATGAAACCAAAGAATTGCATAGGTCTCAACTTAATTGAGATTGTGAGTTGTTGATTGATTAGAAATCCTTTCTGCCACAACTTGGATCCATCGAGTCAACATGTCGTGTATTGCCATCATTGAGGCAGCAGGTCTCCTTGAGAATATAGCTTTCCCATACAGTACCTTGCGCTACAGCAATTTCAGTAGGAAAGAAGCAATAGAACCTAATGCGAAAAGGTGGCTGGGCATGCAACTGACATCATAAATAGACAGCTCTGGAGCACTCTCTCTAATAAAACAGCAAAAGGATAATTGGTTAAGTACTAAGCAGACAAATGATGCAGGTAAAACAAAGAACATCAACACCAAAGAAATGAGCTTAATATTCTTTAGTCTTGGACAAAATGTGTTGGAATGAAATACATTCCATTATAGTCTACCTAAATTGCAAGCAATAAAGGTAGAACTAATGTGCGATCTATGGTAGCAATGCTACTTGGAGCTTACATAGCAGAATGTGAAATACTACTACTGTAGAAGCTCCGATTATACACTTGAAACGTAAACCACCTAACAATTTTCAGGTTAAAACTTTAGCTAATAGTTCTCATCATTTTGCCCAAATCTAATGCTTTTATCAGACAATCTGATCAAAAGAAGTACCTATCAAAGAACTGGAACAAAACCAATAATAAATACGTGCATGATATGCTAGATTGCTAGGAAAAGAATGACCTTAAAATTCAAAAGGAGAATTAACCATGCTTGACTGCCCAGTGCAAAACTGAAACAAAAAAGAACACAATATTAATTCAATTGAGATGCAGACATGAACGAGTTAAAGAAAGCGCACAAGAATGGACTACAGCACTGCACACGAAAAAAACGAAGACATGCAAGGAAAGCAAAACTAACAAAGGCTATTGATCCTTACCGAAGTGAGAAACTTAATACTAGAAACAGTTGCTGCAGGAGTCCTATGACATATACCTCTTCTGACTTATGACAGTTGTACCATCTTTGGTACATGGGTCTGCCAATAACGAAAAACAACATAAGAGAGTAGGTTAGATAAAGGAAGCACAAATAAATGCTTAAGGTACATCACCAATTTGTAAACTCATGATAAGGGGGAAAACACTAAAATCTCGTTACTCCAATCACATCTCACACAAGCTGGTTCTATATCCTTTTGTATATCTATATATATACACACTCAGATAAGCTCAAGACATGTGACGTTATTCACTTTAATTAGCACAGAACATGGAGAATCTACGCTGTGTGTGTCCTACCTGGACATGTTTGAACAGTTACCAGATTCGACCAAATTTTACAGTCCAAGCTAAATATTAAGGAACAAATGAATAGCCAGTGCTTGCATTTTGCAATAGGTAGCAGAATGCCAATTGGAACGAAGTAACAGCTTCGGTGATACTGTGAACTAGTCTACTAACAGTTTTAAGGAACAAATGTAGCTTCTACACCTCTATAAATTAACAGAAGGTGTGAACTTCCAAATCAACAGCATATTAATGTTTCCTGTGTGAATAAAGTTCTGCTAATATAAAATTTGAAGTACATTATCGGGTAATATTAGTGAAAACAGTCATGCGAATTATGGTTGTTCTAGAAAATACAAACACTCAGAATCATACATGCATTGCCTCTCGTGAAACCTTTATGAATCAGTTCAAACAATGCATTAAACGAAATTGTAAAAGGTAAATCCTGCAAATTATTTTTGTAACATATCTCCAAGTAACTCAGAGATCCTCTAATATTACAAAACACTTCGATCCATAAGATAAAAGGGAAAAAAGGAGTCCAGTTATGAAGTTCAGTTGGAGATGAATGAAAAACCTAATTTGAGTAGAAAACAAGGTATAACTGCAAGCAACAGGAAGTAGGGCCATTTCTAACTCAAATATGATATAAGCAGCACAACTGTGGGTGTTCATTATCTAAACCTTGACTAATTGTTAGGTTTCCCCTCAAAACATCCTATGTTACTCTGTATGAATTAATATACAGGAAAAAGATAAGAAAAAGTAAGTGTTAAACTACCTCCCTCGAAGTTCTCAAGATGCCCAACTCATAGTTCATAGTCCTCAGATAAAAAGGTGGGGCCTTGAACCATTCATGGATGCGGCATTTTAGTGTAAAGAATTATGGTTGACATGATCACGTCCTGTACAAAGTATCCAGAGTTTTGATAGTCAATACTGAATTGCAGTAACTGATTCTAGCAGATGTGGGGAGCTCATTTTTCAGGTTCCATTGACTAAAGAAGCAAATGTGGCATGAGACACCTTCAGACCACTTCTTATCATCTCATCACGCAATTCAAAAGCTTTCGACATTTCTCCAGCGATGCAGCAACCATAAATCAAAAGGTTATAAGCCACCGTATCAGGCTTCAGACCATTAGTCAACATAGATTCCCATAGGCATGTTGCTCCCGACAGATCACCCCTCCTACAAAATTCATAAATGATTGTTGAGTAACTTATGCAATCTGGGGAAATACCATTATTTTTCATTTCAAGCAAAAGATCGATTGCTTCCTGAATTTGGTCCAATCTGCATAAACCCCGTATGATAATATTGTATGTCACAGTGTTTGCAAGATACGCTTTAAGCATTGCATCATGAAGCTGTTTAGCTTCTACCATGTACCCTTCACCTGCAAGATGATCGAGGAAACAACTATATGTGAATTGGTTAGGTATCAATCCCTGAGCTAACATTTCTTTGTAGAAACTCTCTGCTTTATCAACTAATCCAGCTTTGCACAAGTTATTTATCATCACAGTATACGACACGATATTTGGGATGCATCCTTCACTGACCATTATATCCCAGCATCTAGAAGCCTTTTTAAGATCTCCAAATTTTCCATACGCATCGAGCATGCTAGTGTATATTACTTCATCTGGCTTCATTCCTCGGTCGTGCATCTCCTTCAAAATCTTTAATAAATATCTCATGTCATAATGCTTTAGAGTTCCACAAATAAGTACACCGTAGCACACAAGGTCCATGTTTATTCCCTTTTCCGCCATCTCATCTGTAGTGGTTAATGCATCCTTTAGTCTTCCTTCCTTGCAATAACCATGCAAAAGAGCAGAGAAACACATCTCATTCAGATAATGACTTTGTTTTTGAAGGTCATCAACAAATTCTTTTGCTTCAGATACTCGACCTTTTGCACAAAGTCCAGTTATCAAAGATCTGTAGGTGTATGTGTCAGGAACAAGACCCTTCTCCACCATTTCATCAAATAATTCAAAACCCCTTACAATGTTCCCATCTTTACAATGCCCTTCAATTAATACATTATAAGTGATCTCATTAGGAGTTGTATTCATTTTCAACATCTCATCAAACAACTTACTTGCTTCTGTCATCATGCTTGCACGACAAAAACCAGAGATAAGTGCAGTGAAAGTGAAAGTATTAGGTGAGATTTCTTTGCCTGTCATCTCGTGGTAAAGCCTAAAGGCCTTGTGCACTTCTTTTTCCTTGCAGTATCCATCTATCAATGATGTATAGGTTACAACAGTTGGGGTCAATCCTTTATCAATCATCTCATTTAAGATAGATTCTGCAGCACTACACTTTCCAGCCTTGCAATGGCCATTAATGAGGGAATTGTACGGGTATACGGTTAGTTCTACCTCATTACCAAGCATTCTATTATAGAGACTAAGTGCAGCATCCAATTTCCCTCGTTTGCAGAAAGAGTCACTCATGATGGAATAAGTTACACTATTCGGGCACAGCACTTTATCCTCCATTCTACCAAAAAGCGACTCTGCTTCATCCAACTTCCCATCTTTACACAACGAATTAAGCAATGCATTATAAACAAATAAATTCGGCACAACTCCGACTTTTTCTACCATATCAACCAATCTATATGCAGCGACACAGTCACCCCCTCTCCTCAATCCGTCAACAACACTTGACACTACAGCCTCACGTGGAACCAAACCAAACCCCAACATCTCATCCACTAAGCTTCGACCAAGCTGAAATTCATTCACTTTACACAGCCCCAAAATCAAAGAGCAATACGTGACGACATCAGCATTCAACCCTTTACAACCCAACGAATTCTTAATTTCAACGGCCTCCCAAACTCTTCCACCCTTACAAAGCCCATGAATCAATATATTGTACAAGATAATACTCAATTTACTCCCATTTCCCTCAACCCAATTCATCATTCCCTTAGCCTTTTCAAAATCTTTCAACTCACATAAACTCTTAAGCACAGCTGTATAAACATACTCATCAAGCTCAATACCTAAAGTCACTGCTTTATCAAACAACTGCAAAACCAAATCGAACCGTCTAATTCTAATCAACCCATTTAACACAGTGCTTAAAGTCCTTAATTCTGGAACTAATGAATTCTCCATCATAAGCCTAACAATTAAAACAGAATCAATTACTCTCTTATCCTGAACATAACATTGGGTCAACAAATCAAACCCCAAAGAGTGATAAAAATTGAATCTTTTATAAGTATCTAATAAATTATCAAAAACAAAACTTGGGTTTTGTTTTCTTTGCAAAAGGGTCTGTAAAAGTGAAGTGGCGGGCCAATAAAGACTGGACTGAACTAAGGAATGTACTAAAATACAAAAAGATGCATTTGAATGGTGAAAGTTCTTGTGTAGACCAAGAAAATTGAAGAAGCGTAAAGCCAACCTTGAATCATCAAGGGTAAAAAGGAGAATTTGCTCAACGTGATGGGGTTTTAGTTTTGTGGAAATGGAGCTGTTTAATGCTATTTTCCAGCTCCGTTTGCTCCGAACGATTTCGTTTAGAGTTGAAATGAAGTTTTGTTCTTTTTCTTGGTTGTTAGGTGTTGTGGATATAGTTCGCCGGAAAATGATACCGGAGAATGGCCTGCTCCGGCGAAGGGAAGGGTTCATTTGGTGGTTTTGGTGAACGGGTAGGATTCGTCAAAGAGGTGCATCTATTTTGGGGATCTAAGTTGATGGAGACGCTAGAGCCTCTTTTGATAATAGTGTAAATTTGAAGGGCAGAAGTGATAACTTTAAAAGTAGGAAAAAAATACATAGGTTGCTCTTTAAATCTGTCCCCCAAAAAAAGGTACTCACTTAGAGCCCGTTTGGCTTAGCTGATTTAGAGTAGCCGATAAGCATTAGCTGCTGAAAAATACTTTTAAGTGCTGAAGCTAATTTAAAAAACAAACAGTTACGTGTTTGGATAAAAGTGCTGAAATTAATAATAAGCAGCTAAAGAACTGGGTATACAAAGAGTTTTGTTTTTAAAAAAGTATTTTAGGGATAAAATAGTAAATATTTTGGTCAAACCTAAAGTGCTTATAAGCTGAAATTTGATAAGTTGGGGGCGACCAACTTATGGCTTTTGGCTTATTTTTGGCTTATAAGCACTTAACTTATAAGCACTTTTAATTTTACCAAACGCGTAGATAAGCCAAAAAGTACTTATAAGCCAGTTTGACCAGCTTATAAGCTTAGCCAAACACCCTCTTCGTACTTATTTGTTACGAAATAAAAGCAATATAGCAAAAATTATTTAATTAACTAGAATTTAACATAAGAATGGAATAATAATATTGGAAGAGGGGATTTCTTCTATTTCAATCGTACCGAATAGGTTCACCAGTCAACTTGTTATAAAAATATTTGGTTGTTACAAAATCAATCCAAAACATGTTATGAATACATAACCAATCCAAAATCCGTTACGAATACATAACAACTCTAAAACATGTTATGAATACGTAACCAATCCAAAATATGTTATGGAAGACATCCATCTTTGTTCATCCACTTGCAAGATTTATAACACTCCCCATTGGATGTTCATTAACAGATAATGTGCCTCATTAAAATCTTACTAAGAAAAACCAAGTGAAAAAAATCCTAGTGGAGAGAAAAGAGTACACGTATCTTGTAATACCATTAAGAGTTGCCTCATTAAAAACCTTAGCAGGAAAACCCAGATGGGACAAAACCTTGATTAAGGGAAAACGAGTACAACGCGTATTTCTCCCCTCCTAAAAACCTTATTTGATATCTTGGAGACGGCGCATTCCAATCTTGTATCTGAACTTCTTAAATGTTGATGTCGGCAATGCCTTAGTGAACAAATCTGTCAAATTATTACTTGAACGAATTTGTTGAACATCTAATTCACCATTCTTTTGAATATCATATGTGAAAAAGAATTTTGGTGAAATATATTTTGTTCTATCTCCTTCAACATATTCCTCTTTTAGTAGGGTTGTGCATAATTTGATAAATACCGAATTACCGTATTGAAATCGAAAATTTTGGTATTTGGTATTCGGTATGGTATTTGGTTTAAGTTTTAAAAAAAATAGTATTTGGTATTTTTAAATTAAATACCGAAATACCGATACCGTACCGAAATATATATTATATTACACAATACACATATTATTAATTATAACATATTTATAAGAAATCTAAGATTTTACATTCTTTTATTCTCTTAGTTCATCGATTAACTCTAAGCAAGTCACAAAACATTTTTAATAATCAAATTTATTTCTATATATACAGTTTTCTCTCTGGGTTGATATTTGATGGTTTTGGACAAAACTTTTGACAGCAAATATTTTTAGTTTTGTACTTTGATTAAGAATATTACAGTCTATGACTCTATGCACTAGTTAGTATTCAAATCGAATAAACCGAAGTTACAGAACCGAATAAACCGAAACTGAAAGGAGAAAAACCGAACCATACCGAATTTAATTAGGTACGGTATTGGTATAGCATTTTAAGAAACCGAATACTGAAAATACCGAATTGAAATGTCTAAATAACATGCCGTATCGACCGGTGAACACCCCTACCTTTTAGTTGAGCTATACATGCAACATTGTCTTCGCATAATGTTATTGGAATATCCTTTCCCCGTGAAAGGCGACGTATCTCCTGGATATGTTAAGTTATTGATCTCAACCAAACGCATTCTTGACTCGCTTCATGAATGGCTATTATCTCTGCATCATTTGAAGAAGTAGCAACCATAGTTTATTTTGTTGGAATGCCATGATATGGCAGTACCTCCACATGTGAATAAATAGCATGTTTGAGATTGACCTTTATGTGGGTCAGACAAATATCATGCATCTGCATAACCAATCAGTTGTGACCTAGATTTATTTGAATAAAATAATCTCATATCAATGGTCACTCGCAAATATCTGAATAGATGCTTAATACCATTCCAATGTCTTTGTGTTGTGGAAGAACTAAATTTTGCTAACAAGCTTACAGAGAGAGCTATATCTGGTCTAAAATTATTAGCAAGATACATTAATGCCCCAATTGCACTAAGATATGGTATTTCAGTACCTAAAAGTTCTTCATTATTTTTATGAGAACGAAATGAATCTTTATTTATATCAAGTGATCTCATAACCATTGGGGGTACTCAATGAATGTGCTTTATCCATATAAATGTGCTTCAAAATAATTTTGGTGTATTTTGATTGATGGAAAAATATTCCATTTTTCAAATGCTCAATTTGTAAGCCAAGACAAAATGTTGTCTTTCCAAGATCTTGCATTTCAAATTCTTTCTTTAAACATTTTACTGTCTTTGGAAACTCTTCAGGAGTTCCAGTGATATTCAAGTCATCAACATACACAGCTATTATGACAAATTCAGATCCAAATACTTTTATAAAGACGCAAGGACAAATTGGGTCATTCTTGTACCTTTCTTTCAATAGGTATGCACTAAGGCGATTATACCACATGCGCCTTGATTGCTTCAATCTGTATAATGATTTCTGAAGCTTTATCGAACAAGTTTCCTGGAAATCTTTGTATATTTCAGGCACTTTGAATCCTTCAGGAATTTTCATAAAAAATTTCGTTGTCCAGTGAGCCATATAAATAGGCCGTAACAACATCCATATGAAGCATATCAAATTTTTCATAAATTGCTAAACTGATAAGATACATGAATGTGATTGCATCCACCACGGGAGAATATATCTCCATATAATCAATGTCAGGATATTTACGAAAAAAACTTGTCCCACGAGTCGTCTTTATATCTATAGACTTGATTTTCACTTTTGCACGAGAACATATATGTTCCACCACTGGGCTTTATACTTTCAGGTATTGGGACCATCCGTCCAACTTCACATTTTTCAGGCGAAGTCAATCTTGATTGCGTATTTTTCATTTTGGCCAATCATTTATATGTCCACAATCTATGCCAGATTTGAGCTCAAGATCCTCGTCATTATTAATAATATTGAGCGCTACATTATATCAATAGTATCTTCGGCGATCATTTTATATCGGTTCTATCATCACTCAATAAAGACATAACTTATTGAGGACTCGTTATTTTCAGGTACCTGAACCTCTCTTGTGAGGTTTTATAAAGTGTTATGTCGCGGTGCTCTTATAGAGCACTTGCCTCGTTACTATGATCATCTTGACCATTTGCTACTCTCCTTCTTCAAGGAGTTTTATTTTTGAAACCGATTGGTCTATTATGCTTCATGTGTGCCATAGACTTTGTCCTTCATCGATTTTATTATACTTGGAGCATTAACAACTGAAATTATCACGACCCAAGTTCACCCTCCGTGAACTGTCGCGACGGGACCTAGTCTCTACGACTAGGTAAGCATAACAATTTGCGGAAGAAGAAATACCAGAAATAAACTATCCAAACTGCCGAAATAATACAAATCAAACTCTTATAATAAACTACATTTCCCAAAACCCAAAATCTCATGAAATCACAAGCTATGGAATAACTACAGTGTTCTAACTCCAGAGTACCTAAACAAAAGTAAATACAGAAGGCCTAATACTATGAGCGAGAATGGAAAGGGACTCCTCGGCCTGCGGACGCGGCAGACATACCTCGAAGTCTCTGATGGATCACTCCGCCTCAAGGATGGTAGGGCTGAGTCGAAGTACCTGGATCTGCACATGAAAAACATGCACAGGAAGGGCATGAGTACACCACAGCGGTACTCAGTAAGTGCCAAGCCTAACCTCGGTCTGGTAGTGACGAGGAAAGTCAGGGCCCTACTGAGGTTAAATGAAATACAAGGTATAACAGTATAGAACAAGACAATATAGTTGAGTGCAACAGTAAGAAGTATCGCAGGATAAAAAGAACAACAACAGCTATAACGGAGACAAATAATCACGGAAAGGAATACAACTCACACAGAAATAACAACCCGGGATCTCCCAGGATACCGTCCTGTAGTCCCAAATATAAATATACAGTGGATCTCCCGGGATACTGTCCCGTAGTCCAACTCATAGTGCACAGGGATCTACCGGAATCCCGATCCGTAGTCCCAATGTAAATACTCAGTAATGGGGAATCTACCGGGTGCAATCCCGTAGTTCCAATGTAAAAGTGCAGGGGAATCTCCTGGAATACAAATCCGTAGTCCCAAAGTAAACATGCAGGGGATCTCCCGGGACACCGTCCCGTAGTCCCAAAGTAAACACACAGCAACATCACGAAGAATACACAATTCCATTCAACTTCTATACCAAGGTAAAACAGGTATTTATAACCTAGCATGTTACACATAACTCAAATAAGGCAGTGGAGCAAATAAGCAATTAAGTCAATTAGGCATGCTTCCCTAAGCTAACTACAGGCTTAAATTGCAAATAGTATAAACAGGAAAAGAAATACAATTCTAAGTACTTAATGAAAACCGGATTTTCAAAATTAGTACAAGTACGCACTTGTCACCTTACGCACAAGGCATTTCAAATATCAATAATACCAAATCCTAAGGGGAGTTTCCCCCACACAAGGTTAGACAAGTCACTTACCTCAAACCGGCTCAAAATCAACCCGAAATCACGTTCTTGCCACGAGTACTCGACTCCAAATGGCCCAAATCTATTCAATTCAATTGCAAAATGTAAATAACACTTCAAGTAACTGATTCTACAAATAAATTCTAAGCTAATACGCGAAATTAGGTAAAATGACCAAAACACCC